AAGAACATAATCCAAGGAAAGCAGAAAGTTTCTTGGCGGTGTTGGGAGTTGGGAAATTTTTGATGGCTTTTATTTTTGAATCTTGAGTTTCTATACCCTTTTGCGAAATTTTATAACCCAGATATTTAAGTTCTTTAGTTGCAAACTTGCATTTTGAGGCGTTAATTGTAAGACCGACCTCTTTTAATAATTTAAAAACTTCTTCTAGGTCTTTAATATGTTGTTCAAATGTACTACTCGTTATAATTATATCATCTAGATAGATTAAAGTCGATTTTCCTGGGACAGGCTTTAGAACAATGTCCATAGCTCTCTGGAATGTTGACGGGGGCCCCAAACTACCCAAAGGGCATGCGTAAAAATGCATAAGTGCCCGATTTTGTTATAAACGCGGTTTTATATATGTCTTCGGGTCTCATAGGTATTTGATAGTAGCCAGACGTTAAGTCCAACGTAGTCATGTATCTTGTAGATTTAATCTTTCTAATAATTTCCTCTATAACCGGCAAAGGGTAAACTGGGAATTTAGTAACACTATTAAGTTTCCTGTAATTGATAGCAAACCTCCAAGCTCTTTTATCCGAAGGAGGAAAGTCGTTCTTTTTCCTACATAGTACGACTGGACTCGCGTACTCACTATTTATGGGCATTATTATGTGGTTCTTTAACATTTCCTGAATATGTTCTTCGATGATTTGTTCTTTCTGTTTATCGTAGCGGTAAGGTTTAGTCCTACAGGGTTTGTCGGCAGTTAACTGTATCTCATGCGTAACTATTTGACAACTACCAGGCCGTTCTGAAAACAAGTTTGAAAAAGTACTCACCACTTGCTGGATGGCTTGGCTTTCATGGTCATTCAAATGGCTAAGGTCGACTTGCGGTTGTTCCACTGGTTCCACAACCCTCCGATCCATCTCCAGCAATATAGAACTTTCCTGAAAATTCAGTTTGGCCTTCGCGACTTTTAAAAACTCCATACCTAAAATAAGTGGCCTTTGCAAGTTTTTTACTACAAAAATTAATACTTTAAGGCTTTCGTTTTGAACCTGTATTTTTAAAGATAGTTTTATAATACAATGACAAGTTTGTCCTTGCGCTGCTATGATTTCTGTGTTTTTATTTTTAAGTAATCGAAACCTATTAAAATTCTTCTTAAAAAAAATATCACACATAAAATTACCTTCTGCTCCTGTATCGATGAGGGCTTCTACTGGTACATCACCAACCAAGACTTGTATAATTGGTAATTGTGAGTTTTTTACGATGACCGTATTTAAGTATCTTCTTGAGGGTTTTTTCAAAACTTCCGGGGTCTGGACCCTCGCTTTCACAGGCCCCTCTACTCGTTTTTAAAGCTTTCCTTTTCAACTTCTGCCTTCTGGGTACGCGGACGGTTGTTTTCAAATTTCCTTTTTGGGCCTTGACCTTCGAGCTTCGATGAGTTAGCTTGATAGCTCTTTCCCCCATAAGAGCGGTTTGCATTTCTGGTCTGCTCATTTGAAGATTGCCTTCGGATACTTTGAGGATACGAAGCCTCTCTAGCTTTTTCTGCTATTCTGCGATTTTGGAACTTGACCGCCAATTCGAAGAGCTCCTGTAATGTGCTTGGGTTTCTAATTTCAAAGTAATCTTGAGCAGCAGGTAGCAATCTTGGTAAGATTATTTCAATAATCTCCGCGTCGGGTTTCTTCCCATACAACATATCCGTCAGCTTAATTTTTCGCAGAATAAAGTCTGTCAACTCTTCTATATTCCGTTGATAAAAACTATATAGTTCGGCTTCTAGCCTTGCTCAGTCTTTCACTATGGGGAAGGCCTTTAATAACGATTTTGGCCTCCGAATTCCCCTAATAAAAATTTGCCTATATTCTTCCACCATAGCGAGGCCTGTCCTCTTAGTGCAGATGTGGTGATGGCAACTTTTTGTCTTTCAGGCACAGGGTAGAGCTGGAAGTGGTTTTTGAGGTCTTCTAGAAATATCGCCACTAAATTTTTTCCGTCGAAATTGACGTTTGGCTTGATTGACGCTCGCATCGTCTGAACCAGGTATCCAAATCCTTCCAATTGGCTTGCCATTTCTTGTTGTTGTCCAGCAGCTTCCATACAATTTTCGGCCATTTCAGTTCGACAAGTGTTCGGGTGCCAACGCTTCCAACTTGCACACAACAATAGTGGTGACTGCTATGAACTGGAAGGTATACAAAGTCTTGAGAAGGGTTTAAATCCCTTTTTATTCAACTTTAGAAATTACAGATGCGTGCTCTTGACGCTCACAAACTACGCCGACGCGGCGGTAAAATAAAAATAAGAAACTAAAAATGAATAATAACAAGTGACTACCTACGAGGCTCTCTAAAACGTAACTAACCTAACCGCGTTCTAAGATACCGCTGACAATTCAGCAAACTTCTGAATATTACGTTGAAAGATTTAACTATCTACCGAGGCAAGCACACAGGCCGAAACGCGTGGTTCTGCAATTTCTAACTAGCCATCTCCACGCTCGTGAAGCAAGAAAGCACACTTTCGAACTTGTTTCCCTTCTATTTAACTCAGAATACTTCCGCTGACTATTTTGAATACTTTGCGCGTTCTACTAAAATTTACATACTCTGGCATTGGCAATTCCAGGGAAAAGTAAGGCTTGACAGGAAAGATAGTTTAAACTTAAAATAAATGTTAGTTAAAATAAATATAAACCCTACAACCTTTAACGTTCACTGTTTTATTTGGCAGCACATCAAGCATCAAGGATATTCATTTAGTCCTCTCTCAAAACACAGTTCCCCCCCCCTCAAGTTTATGACATGGCTTGTGGAATTCTGTAATCTTTCATATTCAATTGGCAGTTTTTGTGCTACTATGGTTATGGTACACATGCACAAAACATTTCTTTTTATGAATCTCTTGCACCATAATGGTATTAAAAAAAAATTGGTACCTCTTTGTTATAGCACCCCTCAACAATATTTGACAATTTTAGGTTTATCCCATGATCACACCTATAATTTCGACAAACTTATCAGGCACAAATGTAAAAATAAACAATACGATATATAATAATGCCTGTATGTCATTTCCATAGAATATTTATCCTTATTCTTTTAACGCATGTAATTGCTGCAGTCAACTGCAGCACTTTCCCATACATTAAGCTGTTTGTTACAGCATTTCATAGATGTCAACTACTCTGTCCAAGAATATATAAATCTAACAGGAGTGACAAAAATATTCTCGGACAACTGAACTAATTTCGAACATACAGGCCTCCTTCTTTTCAAATTTTAACCACTGCTCCTCCAAATGGTTTCATTCTTAACATAAAAGTTTTATGTTGTGGCCACTTTCGCATACTCATTTGTCACGTAAAAGACTTCTTTCTTGAAAAAATTATATGGCATCTGTCCCATTTATTGATAAATTAAAGACTGTTGATGTCACATTCACAAAAAAAAGCTATGAATATAGTTTTAAACAAACAATGAGAATTAAAAAACCTCATCAAAAATGAATAATATAAGAACACATGATAACAGCAAAAATGCAACAAAGTGCTAATGTATGATTACGCAGCAAGATCTCACAGCCTGTGCTAATATATGATCATGTGGCAAAGTATAAGGACACTCAGCCAGATTTTGGCGAGATATCTCGGTTGATTGGCAATTCAGTCTGAAGCCACTATAAAAAAGAAGTACTAAATCGACAATAGATGTATTACCTCCCCTTTTTTTTAAGCAGTAATCCCGTTCTTCCTATCCCGTCTGGATACTCTGATTTTAACTTTTTAAGCAACACTTAGTTTCTCCACGTAAAGGCAGATACAAACACAAAGGAACATATTATGCATTGAACGACACTCTTATACTACTTAAGTTTGACTGCCTCTAAAATCTGATAGATATTCTAATCCTAATAAACCAATAACTAAGACGCTTTCTTTGAACTGCTGAAATTGATGCCAACCAGAAGAGCCCTTTTATTCTGAAACACCAAACATGAAGTAAACAAGCAAATGTGAGTTGTGTAGACACAGGAGCATCCATGAACTGTTACTTGCATTTTAAAAAGGTAATAATAATAAAAATATAATAATAATATTACTGTTTTCAAATGTAACTTTGGTTAAAGTGAGTGACAGTGCAGAAAGATGGGAAAGTTGGACGGCTTTGAAAGCAAAATTGCGTTCGTACTGCTCATGCAATTGGTTGCTGTATCTTGTTATTGGTGCAGAGTGATTTTGAGCAAGTAGTAGTGCTTATTAATTTAACGTACACTTTACTAAATCAGAACTTCTTCTAACTTATTATTTTATCTAACTAACTTATTATTTTATCCATTTTATAAAAATTATGCATTCGAAAGCAGTTTGCATAGGCCTTAATAAGTAATTTTCTAGCTACTTCAAGCATTGTGTCCCACAGTCTAACATGCAAGAAGAAACTAAATTATACAGTACTGTCAAGGAAATATTGAAACTCTATTGCTTTCTACTGACACAATTATGTTATTACCAACATTTGTAATAAATGCAGTAATTTTCTATGGCTGATGCAGAAAAAAATATTTAACAGTATTTTTTCTGACAAATCAACTCATGTCTTAGAAGAGTAACCTTTGGCCCATAAGACAGAGACTAATTTCAAAGCACATTTTTGAGTAAAAAAGTATGTCTTATGGGCTAAATACTATAAATTAATGTTTTGATGAATAACAAAATTTAACCTTACACTGATAGTAATTTCAATAAAACAAGAGGCAGAGAAAATGTAATTCTAATCATTTAGTAGCAAACACTGTTTCAATCTAACAGAAAATTGTTACTCTATAATATATGAAAGATAACACTTTTCTTCAAAATTCCTTTTAGAATTTTTTTCTCAACTGAAATTGAAGTCAAACAGAAGTTTGAAAAAAAGTTATTTATAATTTAGAATTAAAGTTTCAAAAAAGTTATATTTAATTTCCATATTTATAAAATAAACTTTTCTTCTCCTTACTTTTTCATTTGCTTTCTTGATTTCATCTTCAGTCAAAACACTGCAATGTGTCTAAAAGTAAAATTTTAATTAATTTACACAGCAATTTCAACTTGCTTAACAAAGAAGTGAAACATATAAAACAAATATGTATTTTTTGCAGTTTAAAAACAAACACAAGAGATTTAGTGTTTGTCTAATTTATTTACACTACTGAATATAAACTAACTGAAAGAAAATTTTTAAAAAAATAAATAAGTAAGTAAAAAGAAAAGCTAAGATTAAAATTTAAGAAACACAGAAATTGAATCAGAAATATTTTTAGGCATTAACTGTTGAAGTAAACTATTAATTAATAAAATACAATAATGAATTAATTTCTGATTAATTCATACTTAATTAATTCATACTTATTTATACTTTTCTGATTAATTCATACATAATTTGTAAGACATCATAGCTGTGTGAGAAACTGGATTTTATTCAATATTATATCACTGTTTTGATTATTTCTCTCAGCAGCTTGACTGCTTTTATTCAGTAATGAGATTTATTGTTACATTGCATTACTTTCATTTAAACTATTTTGCTGTCTTATATGCTTAAATGACACATCAACAGGAATACAAGTTCACGAAAACAATAAAGTAAAATAACTAATTATACAGAGTAAATGCAGCCCTTCATTCATGAATACAAAAAGCCTCGCTACTCAGAGAGTTAATTATAATAATATGCAAATTTTATTAATATAATATGTCTAAATAAGGCATACAGATAGTCTACTACCTGCCAGTTTTATAGTTATTAATCCCATTTTAGAGTTACAATGATACATATTCTAAAGGATATATTGTACAGTTACAATATGGGCTAATGACTCACAATGACTAACTACAATGATGGACTACAATGACTAACCCTATAGCAGAGGTGACAACTTACTGACTTTAAAACAGAATGTAATTAATATTTGAAACAGCAATCACAAATTATTAAATACAATTTTTAAAAAAACTTATTATTAGTAGTTTTTAGAAGAAATACAATACTTTAATTGATTTTCATATAACTGCTAACAAAACTGGGAGATTTTGTGTTGTTAATGAGAGAAGTGTAATAATTTTATTCACAGAAATTAAAAAATATGATTGCTTTTTGTCTAAAAAAATTTTTCAATGTGTCATCAGTAGTAAAGGATTTAATTTTACTTCTTATTTTAGTAATCTGAGAATCCTCTCATTCTACATTGCTGTATATAACTGACAAGATAGTTAAAAATATTTTAAACAATTCACTGCCACTTTAAAACTCCACCAGCAACCTTTCAGTTTTCCATTTTGACTCACTGAAAACTAATCTTTACTGATTTAATAACTTTATCCAAATTGTCTAGTTTTCCATTTTGACTCACTGAAAACTAATCTTTACTGATTTAATGACTTTATCCAAATTGTCTAACTGCAAATTGCAAAACTGTAACTGAAATTTATCAGTAGCAACATTTTTATCACTGTCTTTAAGAATTCCAACAAACTGCTAGTTGGGGCACTTTCAAAAAGTCACAGAAAATAATACTTCCTATAAAATGATAACTGATACGAATGCTTTAGCAGGGTGTGCAATCTTCTCAGATATTAATTAGTGTTTTATATCTGCTATGTATGCTGCCCTCTAAACTGAAAACAGAGTTTAGGGGATATTGCGCCATTCATCACTCAGAATTATTCTGAGCTCCTGCATACGATGATTTTGTCTTCCAACATGTTGGCAGAAATTAGTTCCACATGTGTTCTTCTAGCTTAAAGACTGGTTAATATAAAAGCAATTTTATCCATTCTAACATCTTCCCTTTAGAGGGCCTCAGATACGTCAATTATCCTATGTGTGCATGCATTGTTATTTATGAACAGAAAATACAGGCCTGCTGTACCACTGAAAAGATGGACATGACCCAGGAAAATTTTGATGCAGTACTGCTGGGAACCCAGATAAATGGGCTGGACACATGGTTCGTTTTCTTGATTTTTCCCATATGTAACATGAATACAAGCACATCTCTTAGAAGCTCCTCTTTAGACAAATAGCCTTGTGTTCTGCCATATTCAAATTCAAGTAACCAAGCTAACCAACCCTCCCCACATATATAAGCATCAAATTTCCAGGGTAATGATCAGCTTCAGTGAAATTTTGTTTTACACCAGCTAGAGTGCAGAGAGAAGAGAACCTGATATCAATTGAAGAATATTCATGAAGCTCAAGTTTCCCTTCTTTTGTTAGTTTCTGCAGGACCTCAGAACCTTGGAGTGTCCAAATGAAGTATTCAAACTCAGTAGCTGAATGGAACAAAGCGAAAATCATCAACAAACTCCAGAACAAAAGTACTTTAAAATCACTTCACCGAATTTGAAGTTCTAGAAATCACCACTAGTCTATGCTGCAAAGAAGACCTTCCTTTCAGTATAATTATTATCTGAATGTCAATTCTGAGAAGTACAGCAACTCTGCAAACAGCAATAAAAGACATAAAAAACTTGATTGAGCCATTCATTCCAGCTCCAGCTGACAAAGCAAATAGATCATGTGTGAAAGTTTCTACTTGATTCTGTTTGATTTGAATGGAGTTTTAGCAGATTAACATAAAAATATCTGCCTACAAAGAATGCCTTTATGAAGGACTTTCTGAGGAATATAACATGAATTCCACATACAACCCATTCAGCAGAGGGAATCGGATGCATATCAAACTACTACACAGTTCATCTACTACGAGGACTTGACCAGTCTTGCATTACCTGGTGTTGGATGACTAGTATCTTACTTTAGTTAAAGTAGAATTAATGGCTTGTGCTCTGAAACAACGGAATCCAAAATCACTCATTTGCAATCTTGAATAAGTTCTCTATATCCCTCCCCACACTGATATGAACTCCCACTCCTAATAGGTGAGGTTCAAGTCTCTTCTCATATGAATGGACAGTATTTCACAGTTTGAACCAGCAGGTCTGAATATGCAGTTCTAAGCACAAGTCTAGGTTGCACTTGGATGAAAATCTTAAGATACAAAAAATAACAAGAAATCATTTATCCATGCTCTTGGAGTTGAAATATCTTATAGGCTGTTACATTCATTAATATGTATACAATACACATTTAAATTGTTCAGTCTTTTGGCAATGTTAAATTATTAATATCATTTTTCAAGTACAGTGATACATAAGTTTATAAGCAGCATAAAAATTATCTTTTTTATTTTAAATGAAAGCACATAATATTTTTAAATTAAACCAAAAAAAAATGAAATTTTAGAATAAAATACTAACTACAAATTCTAGATTTATATAACAAAAGTAAAAATTTAACAGTAATAAAACCTTCCAAATTTAATTACTGCAATTAAAAATTTATTGCTTATGAGACAAAAAAATATTCCCCCTTAACTTTTACATAAAATATAAATACATTAAATGTAAGTATTTATATTTATATAAGAGTAAGATAAAATATATATTTACTAAAAGTGACAATCAACCCACATGAAGGTCACATCAAACAATAATTCACTTGACACTCCCCCCCACACCATCTCATATAATTTCAATCTCTCTTTATACACTAGATTTGTTGCACATACATACATATATATTTTAGCATTAGTATGTAATTTCAAAAAGACATAGACAACATAAATCTGAAATCTGAGTTAAATCCTAAAAAAATCCTATTTTCGTGCTGGTAAACAGCTTTTCATTTTATTACAGTATTGGTCATGCATAAAATATCACAAAACTTTTCTAAAACTATCTAGTTAAATAATAATTTTCTCTTCTAGTTTACATCTTAATATTTTAACACTAGAAAACAAATAAGACTACTCCTGGTACTATTTAGAGAATACATACATACTTTATTCTCATAAGAAAATTCAGCATTTTCATGATCCATTTCTCGTTCTTTGTCTGCTATCAAAGCTAGGGAAATAAGCTGTGCTATCTCACTCTTGGCACCTTCCTTTTCACGACCAATAATAAACCTAAAATTGATATAGCTCATGTTTTAAAAACTAAATAAAAAGGAGTTCTGATTAAAAAAAAAAAAAAAGAGAAAGTCAACAGCAAGTAAAAAATATCAGAATTTGTCTAAATGCAATGTCATGAGAATCTGAAAAGAACACACAAGTTCAAGACTAAAATTCTCACATCTGACAAACTTTCTTTTGCATTAAGGTGATTTATTGGAGAGTTAAACAACAAGAATCAGTGTAATGTTTGTAAATATTGCAAGTCTAAATACAGAACCATCTTCTTCAGCTAAGTGCAAATCAACGAGATAGAGCATGTTGATCAGATAAGAATGACAGGAAAGAAGTCAAGCCACTGGTGCCATCTACTGACGAATTTGAATATGCAGTAAGTAAAACATACCTTCATTAAAGGCTGAGGGTACATGAATTGGAATTAGGGTAAAGTGACCACATTTTCATTGAGACAAAGCAGGACAAACAGAATGAAATGAGAATTGTAATTTAATTATGAAAGCAGACCAATAATTCAAAAATATATTTTATTGTATGCATTCATATCTTGTTTATAAATATACAAAAGCATATTTATTATTAACTATTGGTAGCTATAAAATATTTGTAAAAAAATATAATTTGAATATTATGTTTTTTAATTTATTTAAAATTTTATTTAAAAAATTACGATTTTCTTTCATGGTCATACTTTTATCCGATTGAATACTTTGCAATAGATTCGGATCATTTATTACAATGTTGTGAAATTTCTCACATGAGTTGGCCAAATTATATTTTACCCTCAATACAGATTTTAAAGTTTTAATGTTCAACTGCATTTTTTAATTGTCCATATTTTACTGATACTAGAAAAACACATTCTGTTGCTACATTTGTTCCTGGAAGGGAGAGCACGTGTTCTACAATTTTCAAAATATTTTCATAGGGAATATTATTCTGCTTAAAATGAAGAAATAATTGTTTAAAATGAAAGAATAACATTTTTTCTTCAGTAACATATCTTTTTACCAATGATGCCTCATCAAAAAGATCATTTTCGCAAATATTATTTTTCAGAAAATGGTTGCTGATATATTAAGAGGATTTTTCCACATATTTCCATAAAATTTCCTTTCTTAATTTATATATAAAAATACGAATAAATTTTTGCAATAATATTTTTAAGATCCACTGGAAGAGGGACAGATGCTGTTTGAATAGTATTTTGTAGAACAGTGGTTCTTAACCGGGGGTGCCCGCACCCCTGGGGGTACGGGAATGTATTTTTGGGGATGCGGGAGAAGTCCCTACCTAACTATAAAAATTATTAAATATCATTTATTAAATTTTTTATAATAAAATATTTGAAATCTGCAATAGTGTCCCCAATATTGAAGCTCATAAAAATTGGTAGCACCTAGCTCACTTATCGGCAAAAGACACAGGAAAGAGTCGGTTCCGATGGGCGTATACACTACGCTACGAAAAGGCATGAAACGCTACAAACGAACGCGAACAGGCAGCTAAGTGACGGAGAAAAGAAAAAAAAAAATTGTGGGAATACAAGCGGAGAGCGTTATCCCAGCTTGCACATGCGCTGAGTTCAATATGTGCTACTCCAATGGAATCTACGGATTCACAGATTTGTATCTGCATCTACTGCGCCTGTGTTGAGTCAAGTTGAGTCACCTATTGTGTCTGCGACATTTGTATTGTGTATTCTGACTTGTCAGAAACCTTTTGAGACTAATACATTCTTAATTGCCCGTTCAAGCCGAATAGAATTCAGTGATATTACAAACGTAAGAACATTACATATATTATATTACATTATTTCTAAATAATTAAATCGATTATAGTGAACCCCCCTATCTAAAAAAAAAAAAAAAAGACAATGGAACAATAAGTATGCCGGTTATGGATTTACCTGCACAACCAAAAAGGATGGCACGCAATGACCGCAATGCATCTTGTGTTCCAAGATATTTTCAAACAGTAATCTCAAACCATCAAAGTTATTAGAGCATTTCAACAATCTGCATGATAGCAAAAAAGCGCATAGCATGAACAGCTTGAAGTCAAAGAAGACTCAGTTTGATACCAGTGGAACTCCATAAAATTGTGCGGACCAGCAATTCAAAAACCTTTATTAGAAGCGTCATATCAAGTGGCATATTTATGTGCAACAAAAAAAAAAAAAAAAACTCACACTATCGCTGAAGAGTTGATTAAACCTTCTGCTTTAATTATTGCTAAAACAGTTTTAGATTCGGAAGCACATAAAAAATTAGAACAGATTCCATTATCGAATGATATTATACGATCGCGAATAGAAGATCTCAGTGAAGATGCTTTAATGCAAGTAATTGAAGACATAAAAATCAGTCCACTAAAAAATAAGCATGCAACTGGATGAGTCAACTGATGTTGATAATTGTAGCCAACTTTTGGTATTTGTGAAGGAAAAAGGTAATAGAAGAATTTCTATTTTGTGAGCCACTGGAGTTGAATACAAGAGGAATTGATGTTTTCAATCGCATCAAAGATTTTTTTAACTAAATATCAATTACCAATGAATGTGACTGGCTCAGTATGCACTGATAGAGCCCCAGCAATGTTAAGAAAACATTCAGGATTTTTTCACACATGAAAAGAGAATTACCGGAAGTTATAATAACGCACTGCACGTTGCATCGTCATGCACTTGCGTCGAAAGCATTGCCAGAAAGTTTAAAACAACATCTAACTACAGCAGTAAATGTAGTTAAATACATCCGAGGGCGAGCGCTTAATCATCGCATTTTTCGTGCATTTTGCGAAGAAATCGGTGCTGATCATACCGTGCTCCTATATCACACCAAAATACGATGGTTATCTAAGGGTTGCATGCTTAACAGAGTTTTTGAATTGCATGAGGAAATTATTCAATTACTGACTAGTCAAAACTGTTATTTAGTAAAAGATCTTGAGAGTAATGATGCAATGCTGAGGCTGGCCTACTTAGCAGACATATTTAGTACTAATTGTGCGAGGATATTATTCAATTACTGACTAGTCAAAACTTTTATTTAGTAAAAGATTTTGAAAGTAAGGATGCAATGCTAAGGCTGGCCTACTTAGCAGACATATTTAGCCATTTAAATGAATTTATCAATGCAAGGATTTGGTATAAATATAATAATATTTAGTGAAAAATTATCTTCATTTATCGCAAAATTAGAAATTTGGATACGTCGAGTAGAAAAGGGTAATTTTGCAAACTTTCCCTTGCTTGATTCTGTTATTGCGAAAAATGAAAAGAATACAATTATACCCGACATTGTAATACATTTGAGACGATTTAGCGAATCATTCAATGGATACTTTTCTACCGGAAATATTACCAAAACTCAGAGATGGATACTGGATCCATTTCTATTTGACTTAAATTTGATGGATGATAGTGATCTGAAAAAAGATCAACTTATTGAAATGCGAGCAAGTAGACATGTTCAAATGGAATTCGAACGATTAGAATTGCAACAATTCTGGTGTTCACAGTTACAATGTTATCCAGAGTTGGCAAACAGAGCACTGCAGTTACTCTTACCCTTTGCTACCACCTATTGTGCAAAATTGGATTTTCATTGCTTTTGCATATAAAAACTAAAGCGAGAAATCGCTTAAATGCAAGTGATGACTTACGCGCATGTCTTTCAAGAAAGGAACCTCACTTCCCTAGTATAATAATGAACAAACAACAACAGGCTAGTCATTAATAAAAATATTGTTTTGTATTTATATAAAATGTACAATCTTTTTCAATAAACAATAAGTTTCGCAAAAAAGGTATTTTTCTAGACTAAAAAAAAATTAAAACAAATTTATCAATGGGGTGCAGAGATATATTTTCAGATTCAATGGGGTGCAACTCACTAGAAAGGTTAAGAAACACTGGTGTAGAATGTGCGCTGCACAACCTACTCCAATAATTTTTTGGTTCAAATGTTCGTTAAGTTTCGTAAAAACGTTATTGATGCCTCTTCTAGCTTTTCCACCAAAATTTGCATTAGTGTTATACTCACAATAGGCAATAATTTTATTATTAAAATTATTCTTTTTTAAAATAGTACTTATTGAATCAAAAATTATTTATTAAGTTTCACCCGGCAATGAAATAAAATGTAATATTCTAATTTTAATCCCTGTTTCTGGATCAAAAAGTCTAACAATTGTGGGAAATAATTTTAAATCATTGTGGTTGGAAGCATCACAATATATGATATTAGATACATGTGCATTTACCTAATTCTTTCTGCAATTGTGAAAATGAATATAGTGAAAAAACATTAGAAATAATTGCTTCGGTTTTTGTTCTTGCACATGCAAATTTTTTGTTGTGCAATGTTTTGATCATTTGCGACATACAATCAATTGATTTGAATCTTTGACTGTGGTTTATGGTGTGGAAAGCAAATAGCTCTTCAGCTAATGCTATCTGTTTCTCTGTTAACAATACATATTCCTTGACATTACATTTAAAATAAGAAATGCAGATGTTTTCTAAAAAGCAGGACATTTTTAAAAGTTGGCGCAAAATCGGGATGTGTGATCACTTTAAGTATTAGGGTCATTAACTAGAACATAAAATTTTTTTGAATGTGAAACATCTCTAGAAAACATATTTCACCAACAAAAGATGTTTTTTTGAACAATTTTGGATGCAGAAAAATGGAAAGTGTGATTTTCTGACCAATAGTGCTGAGTGACAAAGGATTTCTGTATGTATAATTCTAGAATAGAAATCCCTTCATCCACTCATTTGGCTTTTCTACCCCGAACTGCATTTTTGATATGTTCAACTAACCAAAATTTCTACATATTTGACATTTTTCATGTTCTCTGGAAGTTGAGCTTTTCCAGAAGCAGCACAGAGTTACTTTTGTAATGAAAATGTACTAGTTTTGTAGTTAGAAGATTAAGTAAGAAGGTGAATTTTATTTTTAAGGCATTTTGTAGGAAAAAAAACTGTCACACTTGCATTAAAATATTTTAAGTGGGGGAAAAAAGAGAGAGAGAGAAATAGTTTGCTATGCTCATAAACAAAAAAGAAATAAATACACTATCTACAGAAATTCTTGCTGGAAAAATTTCCCTAAATTTATCACATTGAATGCCATACAATTTTATATAAATTAGTTGGAAAATGACTATTATTTTCCAGGCTTATTCTGTGAGGATATATAAAAATAATTAACATTTTATTATAAACATATTTAGTATTTTATTGGTTGGTACATTTTTAACAAAGTTAAGCTTTTTCTGATGAGCAGTCATCATTGTTCAGCATGGTGTTATTGGAATAATTTTAATGCACTTGCCAAATGGGTCACTTTGCCAGCCATGAGAATAATCTAAATTATGGTGTTCTTGACAATTCCTTATTTGTGCATTATCAGTTACATGTAGATATTCATTGTACAGCACAACCTTATATTACAGTGCATAAACTACTTTTCACAACACAGATAGTCTCCAAAAATTGAGTTTGATAATTATAAGTTTAATGAAAACTTTATCAGAAGAAATCGAATCAAAATACATTAAAAAATGCAGATTATCTACCAAGAGTAACAATTCAGTGATACATACAGTTACCAGGAAATGTGACATATTTCATTTGAGATTAAAAGTGATGATGAAGTTTCACAAGCATCAACGTTAGATAATCTTCTAAAATCAATATATATATATATATAATGAACCTAAAAGTCGTCAACAGAGAGTAATTCCATTTACTGAAACATAAGGTATGAAAAATTACAGTTTGAGATAATGTATGCACAAATCAAAAGCTGATGATTTTTATGCACTGTTTGTACCAGATGAAATTTTTAGAAGGATTTCTTTTCAAATAAATTTCTATGCTGAACAACTTCTTGAAAGTAACACATTTAGAAGATGTTCTCAGTTATGTGAACAGAAAACCACGAATGAAATGGAGATAAAGCAATTTTTGGCCTAGTTTTCATATATAAGTCCAGTAAAATTACCTGAAGTGAGTGATTATTGGTCAAGAGACCTGATGTTAGGTCAACAATTAGCTAAATGTAAAACGAATCGGAATAGATTTGAAGTTTTATTATATATTCTTCATTTTGATAATAATGAGGCAGCCAATGAAACCATCACCTGAATAGGATAAGAAGATTGATGAATACCCTGAATTCAAATTTTGAAAAGTATTATACTCCCAATGAGTCCATTCGTATTGATGAGAGTATGAAATCCTATCGCGGAAAAGTAATTGATATTCAGACAATTCAACAAACAAAAGAGACAAAAATAAGGTATTAAAATTTTTAAATTATGTATTATTCCTGGTTATAGGCTGAACATGGATGCCAGTTAACATTTGGACACTGTAAATGCAACACCAACAAATGTTGTTATGAAACTATGACAACTTTTGTTCTACAAAAGACACGCTATTCATAGCCAATTGGTATGCCAGTGTCGATTTGGCAGAAAGGTTATAAAAGTACAAGATACATTTGGTTAAAACAATTAGAAAAAAATAAAAAGACTATCCTACAAGAAGTAATCAATGCAAAATTATAAATTGGAGAGTCCAGAGCTAAGGGAATGAAAGAGGTGTGCCACGGTGGCTCCTTCGTTCAGAGTAAGTGCCCTGGTGGCTCCTTGGTTAACAGCGGCAATAGATGAAATCAAACTGCACTTACTAGATTCCTCAGTGGCCATCTGTTATCAGTGACTTTAGTCGGTGGTAATAAACACTTTGAAATATGTACTAAGTGTTTTTCCGCACAGGTCTCTCCTGACCACATCTTATCTTGTCTGGGGCTTACCAGGCAGGATTTGGTTCAAGACCCCCTTATTGTACTGGACTCTTTTTAGAGTGAATGGGCTCATGGACCTGATCTAGCTCTGCTGGTCACAGGGATGAGAAACAACAACAAGAGGTGCAACTGCCATGAAGTGAGAAAACAAATGCTACATTTTCTTATTATCTACAAAACATTCCACACAATTTGTAAATGCTACTAGTAAGAGAGATCAAGAAAAGTACATGCCAATAATATGTACTGAGCACAATAAAACAAAGGGTGCTGTTCATCATAGAACCAAATGACAACTTATTCACCACCAGTGAGAAATACCATAAGATGGTATAAGAAGATAACAACTAGATTACTATTGACCACAGCATTCATTAATATGATGATACTTCATAATTCAATAGCTACTAATAAAATATCTATGGTGCAGTTGAGACACAACCGAGATGCTTGAAACACAAACTCAAACACAAGGAAAGTACAGTTAGGATGACAAAAAATTGGTGCAACGATTATTATAAAGATAATGTTGCAAGACATGACAAAAAGTATATCAAAATTGAACCAAACAACGCCAACATATTGCCCTCACTATCCTTTCTAGTCACATTTTATATATATATACTTTAATAAAAACACATTATTATTAGTTTACTTTCTGTTTGTTTGTTCCATAATTACATTTAATACTTTCTATTTTCTTATCAGTAAAATCATGTCTGTATCTAATGACTTATTTTTTACACATATTCTTCCACAAATGAGCATATGTTAATATTTCTTTCAAATAATATTCTCCAGCTAAATTGCAGCAATATGCAAAAGGGTCTCGTTGTCCACTTTATATAACAAAATACACAGACAGTGTCACCATCGGCACGGAACGATAGCTCAAAGGATCAGTCTACTTTGTTGGACACCTATGACCCACACAGTGCTACTGAAATAAGAGAAAAATATTACAATAAAGAGATAGTCTGTCACTGGTGACCTTCATGTTGATCAATGTGTTAATCCTTATGCTGATTTTGTCATTATGTTCAAACGTGAGCTGATAACAGTATTAAGAGTTATTAAAAAGTGTTAGAATTGAGCGCTGCCCAAACAGGATAGTGGTTACTGTGCGACATGGGGGCACCCTAAATATGCGGCGAGCCAAAAGTCCTCTTGAGATGTTTGTTGGTAGGTGAAGATCTCAAGCGGTTGTTGGTGGGGAAAGAGAGGTGAGAAACCCTCGGATTCATCCCTCTAAGGTACTTTTCATCAAAATTGGGGGCAGAACTTTGCAAATTCATACTGTTACCTGTATGGTGCTCAAGGCTCTTGCCAACGACATGTGCAATCTTACACTCCCTGTAATGAAGAATTTAGTGGGCTTGTTCTGACGTTACTGTCAGACCAGTGACATAAGTCACAACAATAACAGAATTAAAATTTCGGATTCATTAATGGTCTTTAACCAATTTTCTATGTTGTGTTTCCATTTTTTATGCAAGAAAAATCTTTAACAGTGCTATTTTTAGTTAATTTGTCCCTATTAATCACCTTGCATGCTGTGATGAACAAACCATGTATGCGGCATATTTAACTTAGAACTGAGAGTCTAAAGAGTAGTGGTAGTCTAAGAGTAGTCTAACAGTAGTAGTATAAGAGTAGTAAAAAAATTATTTATACATGTTAACTACAAAAACTCAGAATTAATTTTAAGACACAGTGGAATTTACATTGATAGATGATTGATTTTTTTAATCTAAAACATTAAAAAAAAAATTGCTGAGTTTTACTAATGGTTCTTACAATGAACGCTGATGAGTGCAAAAAATTCTAAATTATTTCAATACTAAAATCTGCTTCTTCATACAAAATAGTTTATAAATATAATGTACTTATCATAATTTCATATCTGCGTAAGAAACTAAACAAAGCTTGCCTGAGTTTTCTGAAAATGAAAATTTCATCTGTTTGTGTCTAAAAATTAATGCAGATTGCAGATATTTATTGCATAAATAATAGTGTATTATTTTAATTATATTACAAAATATATTGAAATTAAGCCTCTGACTGGTAAAAAATTTACTCAATTAATCACAGAATCTTCCAAATTCGTATTTTTTTAAACACTCCTACTTAATTTAAAACACTGCTAGGAACAATGTTCCTAGCAAAACTAAAAAGAAAAAGAAAATAATCTGCCCTGGAAAAACTCAGAAAAATATCTTTCACTTTCTTTCATAAAACTCACTTACTCGGCTTTAATGCAAAAAAAAATAATAAATAAAAACAAAATCCCCCTATTGTTGATGTTACAAAAGACTGAAAAGGAAATAACTGTTAAAATTATTTTACTTTGAAAATGGAAGACCAAATTTGGGCTTAGTTTCACTTAATGTTGGATAAATAAATCTATATCTTATTATTTAAATATGTCACACACCTGACTATACAGGCTTACCATATAAAAATTTTATATATAATAAATATTCATACACAAAGTAAAATGCTTAAATTTACTTCTAAAAATGCATCCATGGAATATAGTGCAATATTTTTCAATTCTGATAAAATGAACAATATATATTTTTCTCTATTTTTTTATGATTTGACGTCTTAACCTTCATTATCTAGTAAAATTAAAACAAAGACCTTTTTAAAATTGCATTTATAATGCAATTATTTTTGTAACTTACCTTACAGGACCTGAAGTATTCCTTAAAACTGTTGCAGCATATGCCTGAGTGACACCAACAAGAGACTTCCCATCAACTTCAATAATCTGGTCATTTACTCGAATCCTATATAAGTGTACCAAACACAGCTATTAGTATGTGAAATATGCATATAAATCATGAAATTCTAGACTCGCATTAATTATTGTTAAAGAAAGCAAACCAATTAATAAAAATGAGTGGTTAACAGGGGTTAAAATGCAATTTTAAACTCAATTACATATAAATTAGGAATTCATAATGTTACAAAATGGCCAGCCATGGCAAGATAGCTTCTTCAAATAGTGGGTTTAGGGTTGCCATAAAATGGAAAGGAGAGGCAGGGATGCTAGATTTGGAGTGAAATTGCCTATTTGGCGACAAAACAGGCGATATGCCATAGACGGATGAGGAACATTCTGGAACGAATTCTCACCAGTTTACCCCAGAATGTTCTCGAAGGCAAGCCAAAACGTAATATAAATTCTGCTTTTATAGGGAGTAGTAGTCTATTGAGTTGATCGTCAGTCTAGTGTCAAGATGCCTCATCAGTGTATCATGACTTGGTGCATCAATAGTGTGCATCGTTGAGACTAACGAGTGTATCATCGAGTGCATCACGAGCTGTAGTGCGGAGAGTCTTGAGAGTACGTTGAGTTTCGAGAATGACCAAACTGTGTCAGGAGCTGTACTCTAGTGCTTTGACGTGAAGCTACCATCACTGTTATAGACCGATAGTCTGAAGGCTGTGTTTCTGATTGTTTTTCAGCATGCTTGTTGTAGTTTTTTGACGACTATAAACATGTTTTCGGAACTGTCCTAAATAATACTGGCAAATAAATTGTGTTTTGATACTTCATCAAGCATTGTCGTCAATCACTCAAAATCCACAAACCCATGCAGAACACAACAATATCATAGCAGAAATTATCTTATTGCTTAAAAGATGGATCCAAAACAAAAAGAACCAAATACAATAAAAATATATGACAGTTTAAAACCAATGTTTTATAAATCAATTAAATATCCATAGAGGGAAAAAAAAAAATCTTTGTTTGGTCCAGAATTTGAAAAAAACTCTTATTAGTTGCAAAGGCAATTAGACACAGGTACCTCTTCATTTTACTATGACATGTTTCTATTATACTTGAACCTATCAATTTATGTAAAGATAACCATTCACTATATGACAATCTGATATTCTATTACAAATATACAACTGATTATATATTTAAGTACAATGATTTATATATAACATATTCATTTGTAGGTCATTTACATCATTTATGATACACTAAAGTTTTGTCTCGCTGAAATGTGATGTTACATAAATTCTAACATAAGAATAAAATAAATTTTAAGATTTTTTCCTATTTAATATGTTGACTAGGTGAATCAAAATATTACATTCATCTGATATGCACATTCCAGGTCAATAATAGATGAATTGTTGGTGTAAATAAAAATCCTCAATTATCATTGAAACTTTTAAATTCTGAAATTTTGTATTCATATTAATCAATGTTGAATTAATGCAACAAAGATTTAAACTATTAATATTATACAAGTATTAAGAACAGATAAATGTAAATGAACTTGACCTTCCATCTTTATCAGCTGCACCATTAGGAATTACGGTTTTCACAAAAATACCCAACTTCTCCACACCAGCATCTGCACCAACACCCATTCCTATAATACTTAATCCTAATCCTTCAGGACCTATAACAGTACAATGGACAGAATTCATTAGCAATGAAAAATATTCAAATAAAAAAAAAACATGTAAACTGCAAACTCACTACTTCATTAAATACTTCACTACCTTTAATAAGATTGACAGGAAAGACATCCATTTTTTCAATACGTTTCTCCAGTTCATATTCAGCTGATGCAGATATAGGATCTACATCTTCATTGCGCCTATCATAGTCTTCAGTAGAATGAGTACTATAGACCTGTAATATCAAATTATACATTTCGTTAAACTGAATCTAGAACATACATAAATATAAACAAACATGAATGTTATATGGATGCAGTGAGAATTTTTAGAAGATAAATTGTCATTTTCTAAATGTTTAAAAAAAAAACAACAAAAATTAAGATCTCACGGCTACAGGTACTTTTCTCCAAATGACCTAGGCAAAATTTCTAATAACCTAAATTGCCCAGTGACTTCTGTGATTGAAAATTCAATAATTTTAAATAACAATAATAAAAGAGAGAGAGAAAGGATGAGGAAAATAGGACTAATAAAAATACATTTTCAAAAGATGATTCACCATCAAAATATTGCTACAAAATGACTATAACTTAGTACATATTAAAAATCTTCAAATCATTTTATGAAGTAATTTTGCCTTAGGTCTAGAAAATTGTAGTAAAAAGTGTCAGAGACACACAAAAAGATCCTGAAACTAAAATTAGATGTTTAACTACAAATGAGCATAAAAAAGCAAATATTAATATGAAAGATCAAATACTGCCAACTGCCAAAAAAAAGGCTTACCTTTATAGGATCCGTGCTGAATGAAATTTTGGTTTTTTTACGAGGTTGTGCATTAGGTGAACTAATTTCATCTGGCTTAATTTCCACTTCTTCAGATTCTGGTGGTGATAATCCAGGATATTCAAAATAATAATGGCCATCTTCCAAGAGGTGATACTCTGTACCATCATGAACAACAGTAGCATTTAAAGCATCACAAGCATATGTTGTATCTAGTATTTCGTTATTAATATTTTCATTATGCATATCATCTGGACTATCTTTCTGTTTTTCTTCTGATCTTGATAGCAGCAATACAACTTCTCTGGCTTCTTCATCACTCAATAAAACAGGGCGCTCACTAAAGTGTAAACAGCATACGTTTAAAAACAAACTAATTTAGGTAGTTTAACGACTTAACTTTTAGCTAAAATTAATGATAAATCATGTTTTTTTTAAAGATTACTGTAAAGTGTTAGATTATAAGAAGAGTGGTTTAAAAGAAAAAAAAAAAAAAAAACTGAAGCAAGAAAACTTATTCACCAAAAAAGTAAACACATATCAGTAGTAGTAAAGATTTACATGATTATCTAAAGTAGTTTAATATATACCACAATTAGCACTATTATCATTTTATTTTCTCACTGATCTCATCCAGCATTTTAAACAATATAGCTATAATTAAGAATATTTTATATATAATTATACAGAATTAGAATATTTATAAATTCTAATACTGCACAGATATTAATATATAATTTTACAGTAATATTACCTAGAATAAAATTCCTTGCAAAAGGAAGATAACTAACATTTACTAAAACATTTTAACATTTTACTAAAACTGTACATTGTGACATTTAAGTGTATAGTACAAGGTTGTTGAGACTTCAGCAATCTAGATTTTAGATTCATCAATTCAAATCTACTAAGATGATATGCAGAAATTATAAAATTAAAAATAAGATATAATTGTTTATGAAGTAATGAAGCATGAGTTATGGCTACAGAATCAAAATTTACAAGGAAAAAAATCATGTGTTTGTTTTAAGAAATATTACTTTCAATATAAGTTGTTTAAGATTTTTCTTTTTTGTGCTAATACTTTCTCTTCAGTAGACATAATTTCTTGCTCAGTTCCATCATTCAAGTCCTGAAACTCTCTTCAGAAGACATAATACCTTGCCCAGTCAAAAGTTTCATCATTCAAGTCCTAAAATTATCATGTCATGAATTCTCACTAAACTGTCAATCAAAATCATTTTAGTCTCAACAACCTCTTTGTCACTTTCTTCCCTATCGATAATGATATTTCCTGGATTTAAACTAACAGATCCCCATCTGTTAGTTGAATGACAACTGAAGTATTATCATCACTATACAGAAATCCTGTTATATCATTTTCACTGATAATCATTTCTTCACAATTTCCATTAAGTAAAAAAAAGTACTTATGTATTTGGCTGTTCACTGTTTCTTACAATACTGCTTAACAGGACAATTTATAGTCAATAACATACAAACGTGACATCACAACACATTCACAAGAACAACAGCCCTTACAAAGCCTATACAAGAGAATAGCTGGCACTTGCTGTCATTTTTAAGCCTATAAGAGGTAAGTGTAAGTGCTATAAGTGCCTATAAGTGCTAATTTTTTTATGTAAGTTATATAATATGCCCCATCAAACATCAAATTTTGCTAAATATTCAAAACATGTAACAAACAATACAGTTGGTATGTGGAGTTTAGATATAAAAGTAGGTGTAGCAATGGTTTGATATTTGAAAATACAAAGAGTGAAAATTTAGCTCTTGTAAAAACTTAAGCTAGATTCTTGAAAAACAAATTATTCTAAACTAATATTATATAACAATTCTATCAATGTACACGAGAAACATGGTTAATAAGAAAAGTAACAGCAATGGATGAATGAAACCCTAACTCATGGAAGTGAGGGAGAATTACTTAGCTTAAAAATGCAAAATGCATTGGCTTCCTCTTATTACAGGCCCTAACAAAAGTTTGTTTACATTTTATATAACCCTGATCTTCAGTAAAACAGGCTGTCTTGTAAGAAAATTATACATTAACTTCTCTTCTCTATTTTTGTCTAGCATTTTGATAAAATGATTTGAATTTGAGACCTGCCTTCTACAGAACAGCAAGAAGTTTCAAAGCTGCAGAACTAGTTATACTGATGCCCTTACTCAAAACAATTCAACTTACTCAAATACTCAACTTACTCAAATACTCAACAGACTGTGACATTCATATCCATTTTTTTGAGGCAATTCTACTTTCAGCTTGATGGACATAAACATCCTTTCAGTTTATAGATTTTGCTGCAGCTCCAGAACTCTTCTCAAACTAATTAAAAATTCAAATTTTAATTTTGATAAGTTAACTGTATGATTAATAAGTTAAGAAAAAAATGCAATTTGTTATGTTAAAACTGAACTTCAGTTCCTCAGAATCTAATTTTTTCTCCCTTTCCTGCTGTTTTGCCAACAAAAAAAAAAAAAAAAAAAAAAAAAAAAAACAGAATCAGCAGCATAGTTCTTCAAACAAATATGTCTTGGAGCTTTCATTACTGTTCAGGTCATACAGAACAATGCTAACTCCCTACAACCACACAAAAGATGAAAGATGTAGTCATGGCCAGTTAATAAATGTGTTGTCAATGGCAATCTGGAAGTTTGATAGTGACACGGAAGAATTCCAGTTAGTTTGGAGAAAAATTGCTTTCAAAGTGCACCTGCTTTTTCTGTAGTATTTATTATATATGCTATTCCCAGAATCGTAAGGGAAAACAAATTCCTGAAAAAAAAAAGTTCTGGCGATCCAGAGGACTAGAAACTAGATCATTCTGGATAATGGATGTCCAGGTTTTGGTCTTTCTGCTGCATAAAAAAGCACATGCAGGGGTGTTTGTGGGACCCCAAAAAATCCCCTGAAACTTTTACGGACTTACTACCAACATTTTGGAGTTTCGAGAAGGGGGGGAGGGAAATGAAAAATTACAATTATGAAGTATTGAATGACCTAATTATAAAAGTTCAATGAATTACTTTTTTTGCAAAATTAATAACCATAAATTTTCAAACATATAAACTACTACATTTTATGTAAATATTTTAAATTACCTGAATTAATTCTTTAAAAAAAAATTATCGAATTTCTGCTGCTTTTTTCTTATTTTCTGATGTTTGTGGGCTTGTCTTTCTTTTGTGGTGAACTTCATAATTGCAGGAAGGTTGACTTTTATTTTCCTCATTTACAGTTGAAGAAATTTCCTCGAGAACTGCACATGCAGAGGTAGAAACAGTTTGCTTTTCTGCTAATGTAGAAGGTTTTTCAGAGACTTTTATAGGTGACTCATCTGAAAAAAAATGTTTTTAAGTCCTCTTGATATGTTTTCCAACTTCTGTTCATCAGTAAGAGATCTTTGTGAATTGGATCAGTCATTGGACTTTTTGAGCCATATTTTTCACATGAGGTTTCTTTAGAAGCCATTAAATCATATTTAATAGTCTGCACTGCATCTAGGGAATCAATCTTAAGAGAGGTTCTATAGTCAGTGACAAGTGTATCCATTAAGTTGAATGCACTTTCCACTAATGGGCCATGGAAGCAGCTAAGGCAGGCTACATTGAAAGAAAGAGAATTCTCGGCGATAAACGAAGTTATTAATACCTCTTGGCGTGCTTTTCTTGTCACTATATCCAATGGCGGAGCATCAGTCTCCAGTAAGTCATCAGCATTTTTCGAATTAGCATAATTACTTAAAGTCATTGAATGTGTAATGCACTTTGAATATTTTATGTGCGTCACAGTTTTAGAATGATTTGTGAAAGCCTTGAATCCTTCCCCACCATACTTCAGTAGTGAGTTACAAAAAACACAATATGCTTGTCCAGCAACATTTATTTTCTTGCACCATGTGCCGATGGTATCCCCATTAGCATCTCTCCGTTCAATCCAATTCCACCTAAATGCATTCCGGACACCTTCTTCTAATTGTATAATATCACTATTTATATCGAGAAATTTCATAGTGAAATTCTCTTGCATACATAAATAAAAAAATATTTCAATAAACGAAACGAAAAATTTACACGTGCATCAATAAATAAAATGAAAATTTTACACAGCGGAGAAAAAAAGTTGAGAAGTGATCAATGACAAATAGCTAGTACGGCGAAAAATCCCACTTCTCTACTTATTGGCGCCATGCCAGGAGAGATAAGACCTTTGAACCCAGAGTCACGTGATCGCACATCTGGTCGAACGAAGTCTCTCCCCTTTTTTTCTGCCGCGCCTACTTGCCGAAAAGAATCCAGAAGAGAATGTCCGAGAACCGGGGGAATGAGTCATAACTCACAATAAGGAAAGAACAAAAAAGAAGTTTTTTCCCCCTTTTCACGCATAATCACTGCCTTTGGAGAAGGAAAGGAAAAGTTTTCACCACACACACTGACCTTGCGTTTTCTGCTTTCAAAGCAAACAAAATTACCCAGATCAATAAATAATTCATTATTATTCCTACTTCCTTTTGAACGACGATCCCCGGAATTTCCGGGTATCGAAGTTTAAAATCCCCGGAGCACAAACACCCCTGCACATGAAACATTTTATCATACCTGTTGCTCAGCAGCTTTTCAGCTTCATCTTGAGTCATAAGTTCAACAAAGCTAAGGCTATTAGTCTTTGACAAAGATGGAAGAGGCTATAATAAATGGAAAAAATATACATATTTCAATATTTTGGAAGTATCTTGAGAATTTATTTTAGTAACTAGCAATATCAAAAGCGAAAAAAAAATTACAAACACAAAGTCAATTAAATTCTGATACAACTATACACAATATACATGAATGCCTTTTCCCACATGCAACATATTTTTAACACATCATAAGCAGGAAATGACTAATTTGTTTTGTGTATATTATTATTAAAGAGTGGGAAATGACTAAACTGATTTTGTACAGATTGTTTAGCATAGGATATGACAAAACTCGTTTTCTATAAATTATTATTATTGTGTGTTATGGGTAACAAAGTGATTTTTAATGACATTTTTTACAATAAATTCTAAAAATTGGATAACAATGCAAGAGAATGTGATGATGAACTGTGTGTAAATAATTTATTGAATTATTCCTATGAGAACGAGCTATTTGATGATGATTCAAGTGACGACAAAATTACAAGATGTTTTAGTACTTCGACTTTTTTCTGACCAGAATTTCAAGCAGTTCTGATCCAAGCCCAAATTTGGATGGTTCTGATTTTGAAGAATGGTCATCAATAGACAATCTACCAGTCTTGGGAGAGTTTTAGGCTGCTCAGGAATAAATACAGAAAATGTTCTGGATAATGTACAGTATACAGTATATATGCTACAGTAAAACATCAAATTTATCACTTTTACAATGTATTGCTAGCCAGTCTTAGTCCCAGAACATACATGGGCATGTAGTCATTGATCATGATGCTGCCGTATACCATGATACTACATGTCGGATATCAGTCCCTTTCCTGGATATTTTCTGAATGATAGCGGTACCACTTCTCATGTGAGATCAGTTGGCATCTACAAACCAATGATAGACTAAAGAAACTCACTGAAAATATTATGCAAACAAAGTCTTGTTCAGTCTGATTGCAATGATTGTAATGATTGTCATGACATCCTATGGTGCTGTCTGAACTAAAGAGCACACATAACAGATCCATGGGCCTATCTTTCTTCTCCAAAATGTCTAGCTACAGTTTTTCAGGAGATCGCTATTCTGTAGCAGAGAAAACTCCTTCATCACCAACTGACCTGTGATGTGCCGGTTTCCTTTTGCCAGCAGGGTAAATGTACCTATCTGCTGCAGGCATTCATCACCACTACATACCATCAACATTTGGCATTAGAAAAAAAGCAACAAAGTATGATTTGCCAGGAACACTTTCTGTGAACATGAGGAAACATACATTAGAACCAATTGTGAGAATTATAAAAAAAAAAAAAAAAAACTACATTACGACAATGTTGTGTGCCCCGTCATATATATATATATATATATATATGACGAAGAAATATGCAGTATGTGCACAAATTCTGCAGTGAACCCTTACACAAGGGAAAGTGCTTTGAAAGATTTCACACTTTAAAACATTATTAAATTTTTAATTTTTGAGACAGTGTGTTTATATTTTTAATCCTTTAATGGACAATGGATTTAATGGATAAGTCATTCTGCAAGCTAACTGCAAAAAAACGCTCACTGTGTGATGAGAGTTAAGCAAGAAAACACCCACATAAGCTATGTTAAATAATACATATTAATAAAGATACTAATTAAAAGATGATCCAAATTGGGTAAAATTTTAGCTCACTATATTGTAGAGAAATTTAGATGGATATTTGTATTTAACTACGCATTAATTCACATTCAAAATCTACAGTATGCATTACTCATCTATAGGAGTTAGTTACTAGTTACCAGTTAAACTTAATGTTAGCAAATATGGGCCATGATCTTTCTTCTTATCAGAGAATGTCTGCTAAATGGAAGTACGCTGATCTCCTTCTTTAATAACCTGTAGATTTTACAAATTATACATCAAGAGACAATGTGCACTAGAAAACAGAGTTCATTAATGGAGATTTAGCTGTAATTACTAACTTTAGATTTGATCTTAACTTGTCTGCGATCTTTCATTTTGTAACAGAGTTGAGATCAACGTGTGCCTATGCAAAATTGGTCGGGCCTGTCTTGAATAAATGATACTATCAAAATGCAGGTTCTTGTAAAACAAACTACAATTGCTAAAAAAGGGCTACTCAATCAGCAGCTCCTGAGTATCTACTTACAACTCACCAGTCGGAGATAATTTCTGGCATATCACAAAAAGTTTTAAAGGCTTGTTTTCATTTTGTTTGGTTATTATACTGTTGTGTGCATATGGGTTCATAATACACTTGAATGCATATGTCTGATAATAGGTGCCACAGCACTTTTCGGATTCCGTTCTGAGAAGCCAAATTGAGTTAATCATATTATTAAAAATACTAATTATGATTCGTAACAATCACTAACAAGTTTTTTTTTAAAGAAAAAAGGGTCCTACGAATTCTCTTGTAGTCGGCTTTTGTTAGAAACAAAGTCAAAGTCGGCAAAAGTCCACTATGAGTTGATTCGTGCTTTGACTTATCGCCTCGGTACAGCTAAAACAAGCCCTAAGCGAGTAAGACGCTCGTAGCGGCACAAAAGTGGCAAGTAAAAAAACTACGAGATAACGCATATTGAGCGCCCTGAAGAAGAGTCCTAATATGAGTTATCTCATGTTGGGCAGTCAACGTGTTAATAAAATTTATTTTTATCAGAAGAAATACATCAAAATTCTGGAATCTTCCTCAGAGATATTCATACAAGTATTCACAATATCATGCAGTATAATCAGTGGTTATACTTCACACTACTAAAAATATTAAAATACAATGCAATGCACATCTAAACAGAAAGCTACCTCCAATTTATCTCAATTCAAGCGGAACTACAACTCGCAACAACAGTAACTAAGCAAATGAGTAAAACACTCTTTCTCCGGCCTTTAATAGATTTCACACGGTCGCGAGATATTTCTAGCAACTTCTGCATCTCGAGATTTAAAGCAATAAGAGGATGTAATTACTGTTACAGCTAACATAGTGTTCAATTACAATTATTCAATTTTAATACAAATTAATGAGATACCCATTTATACAAAGTTAAATGCAAATGTTCCTGTACTTTTACTTTTTAGGCATAGCTTTCTATTAATTTGTCTTGCGCTGCATTGCACAGGGAAATACAACAATTTTAATTACAATTCTAATAAAATTATCTATCTAAATACCAAATTCATAACATTGCCCCCTTCCCAAGGATTGCACAACCCAAGCAGTACAATCCCTGGACAGGAAGCCATACTTACAACTAAAGCATCAATGCAATAATAAACCTTACAATGACATACATAAATTGTAACAAACAACATACACAATAATTGCAATAAAAAACTAAAAACAAATCAAATACTAAATCAACAAATTAGTGCACAAAATTTACAAATTTAAAAAAGGACCATGGCCTTATACTATTTACATTATATACACTATATACTATGACCATAGTTAGAAGCTAGCCTGTCGTAATGAACGACTTAGAATTAAATGACTTATGGATCCGAACTACGACGGCATTCAGCCTGTTAGGACTGTGTAAGGCTGTATATCACACGTTGGTTTGTTTCGGAAGAACAACTGTTTGGAACAATTTTTCTGCTTTGTCACAACAGCCAATCAACACAGATCGCTCTGGGGTTAACGCAGGGGAAACTGGTTCCCCATTACAAACAAGCCGATAGCTGATTGGTTGAAAACGAACAACCTGCCATTTTTTTGGAAGGGAAGGGAAAAGTCGCGCGTCTGTCTTTCAATAGTAAACCAGGCAGAAAAGTTGTCCGAAACAGTTGTTCCTGTGAAACAAACGCCATGTGATATGGGCCTAAGAAGCATCTCAAAGTAACTGTAGTTTAGGACAAAGTCCTTTCTGTCGAATTGGATTCCACAACCATACCTCGTCTCCTTTGTTTAATCAATGTCCTGTAGTTTTGTATTGGGTCTTCATCTTTTCCATCGCCAAGTTGACATGCTCTAGTGCAAAATTGTGCATCACTTCAAACCGTACCTGCAGATCTTGAATGTACTCCTCAGGTGATGAAGGTGCATCCAGAGGGAGTCCAAACAAAAGATCACAAGGCAGACGATGGTCACGACCGAAGAGTATCAAGGATGGGGAATAGAAAGTAGTCTTGTGGGCAGCACTGCGATAAGCCAATAAAAATAGAGGAAACTTCTTCTCCTAGTCCTGTTGGTTCCTGGAAACCACCAACGAGAGATTAGATGGATGTTATGAAGGATGGTTCGATTAAACCTCTCTATCATGCTGTCTGACTGGGGACGTAAAGGTGTCGCTTGGGTTTTGTGAATGCTGAGTAGCTGACAGGGTTCTTTAATTACAGCCGAGGTAAAATTTCTTCCTTAATCAGAATATAACTAAAGAAGCACTACAAACCTCGAAATCCAGTACTGTAGCATTAAATCTGCTATTGTGACAGCCTCTCGATCAGGAATAGGATATGCTTCAGACTACTTGCTGAAGTAATCAATGACAACGAGGATGTATTTGTTGCCATCAGCAGTTTGTGACAGAGGTCCCAGGATCTCAAAGGGGATATGTTCAAAAGGCACTCCTACATCGTAGCTTTTCAGTTTGCCTCAACTGCATTTCTTCGGTAATTTCCGACCAGCACAGGAATCGCAAGATATTCACCACTTTTGGATGCCATCCTTTGCATTACTTTAGTAGAAGTGCTCTTGAACTCTCTGCAAATTCTTCATTATTCTGAAGTGGCCTCCTGTAGGGCTGCTACATAGTTCTTTTAAGGATATCCGGAATCCAGGATCTTAGAAGTATCAGCTGCCATCAGAAAGCTTTCATCATGCAATTCAAATTTCCAGTACAAGACGCTGTTTCAAGTATGGAGTATGTCCCAGAGAGCCCAGTATAGTTTGTCATACAACTAATAGATCAATATATCCTGCCAGCTAGGTTTCCTGTTTGAGGATAGATTAAATCAATTATGTGTTTTATGTCGCCGTCTTCCAACTGGTCTTTCCTGACTTCTTTG